GCCACCTGCTCCCCAGGCTGCATGAGCCCTGAGGTTAGGTGGCCCAAGGCCTCTGCCTGCTGCGGCCCTCTGTGAGCTTCCTACAGTGATTTCAAAAGTCAAGGCCAAAGCTGAGGGAGGTGTGTGAGGGAGGTCAGTGAAACCCCAGGGTAGGTGCCGGCCTGTCACTGTGCATCCCTATGAAATTTCAAACCAAAACCAGGACTGACCTAACCTGCCAGTCCAGAAGGCACTTGGTGACCTGATTACCTGCCGAGACTGTCCACTCCACCTGCAGGGGAAGGCTTATGGCTGCCCACCCACTGCCCATGGCCCACCCTGTAGCTCCAGCAAACTCCTCACCCAAAAAAAGGCAAAATCATTTGTTCTTGTGATATCTCCATTCCCGGCTTTGGAATAGACATCTCACCTGCAGCAAGGAAACTAACGGTATTAGAAATCTAACCGCTGGACCCAGTTTCCCCTCCTGCCTAACTCAGAGAGGAATTTGGCTGCCTCTGGGAGTCACTGGTACAGAGTTCGTTCCCAAACCTTCCCACCTGTGACTTCCTTTCCTAGGACACAGGCTGGTTCACTCCAACCATCTGACCTCTCTCGTGTCACAGGTGAAATCCTCTCTCCAAAACCCACAGAATGATCCGTGAATGCTATCAGTGTTGTAGCTTTACCTGGGAAAATGACAATCTCAGAAGATGCTTCTGGAGAAGGGCCTGCTCCTATTTCATACAACACAGCACCAACTTCCTCACCCCTGAAAGAGCCATTTGTTTTCCTTGTAGCCAGTCGTAGAGCTGCAAGGTTGAAATGAGTTGATACAAACACGATTGTTTAAAAGCCTGCGTGAACCCTAAGTTTCAGTGGCTCAGGGCCTCTGCCTGTCTCTGCCCTCTGTGAGTTTTCTACGGTGACTGCGAAGGTCTCAATGTATATGTTAGCTTTTAAGAGGCTGAAATCCAGCGTGGATATAGGTGCACACAAAAGAGATATAAATAGGACTGTACTTAAGGAATGGACAATTCTACTTCATGAATATCCTGCGGGAAAAAATCATAGCTCCAGAGATTTCTGTGTACAGATGGTCAGCAGAGATTTGTTCATGATTTTTAAAAACCTGCTTTTATGTAAGTTTCCAACGACGAGTTGTTTACCTAAATTTCCAACAGTTGTGGAAGGAGTAAATTATGCTACTTTTCAAAAGCACATTTGTGAGCATGTTTGGTGCTACACAAAAACTGTCCTGACAGATAAAGAGGGATATAAACCCACTTCTATGATATGTCAGGCCTTGTGTCTAGCTATGCCCCCGAAACCTCACTTCGTCACAGGTGGGACTTCCAGGGGTGGCTGCATCTGGGGTGTGTGATGCTGGGATCCACTCATGGTGCGATGCTAGGCTTCAGGCTCCCCATGCTGGGTGCCAGTGCTGCCTGCCCTAAGGGTGGGGAGCCTGGTTAGAAAATAAAGGACAGAAAGCTGCTTGTTGCTTCTGCTTCACTGCTTGCTGCCTTCCAACCACCATGAACCGTTTCCCCTGTGCCACGCCACCCTGCCTTGGAGCCAGCTGACTATGGACTGAAACCTCTACAAACTGTGAACCAAATGAACCTTTCCTCCTTTAACTGTAGGTGGTGGGTATTTTGTCTTAGCAACAAGAGAAGTAGCTAAGATAACACTCCCAAACAAACATGCACAGGACAACTATCTCCATAAGAAAAGATTGGAAGGCAATACGAAAAATGTTCCTTGTGTTTGTCTATGTGAGCAGATTCTTTACTCATTTCAGGATTTTCTAAATTGCATATATGCAATGAGCATGTGTTCTACAAAAAGCAAAACAAAATATTAAACAGCTGAGAGTCTATTGCAATACTATAGTTGTTTGTTTTGTTTTTTGTTTTTTGGAAGGATGAGGTGGTCAGGGGCAATGTGCAGAAGACCACTGCATTCTGAGGCATGGTCTCCAGTAGCTAGGGACCCACCAAACAGAAGGAGGGGACAGACATGCTAAGCTATCCAGGCAGGGAGGCAGGACGGTGTATCGACCCCCACTGGGCAGTGGAGGAAGCAGGAAAGGAAAGGGCGGGAGAATGGACTCCAAATGGCCCGTTGGTCCTGCAGGGCCAGAGACCCCCAGGGAAAGTGGTGCCCAGAGCCCATGAGGTCACAGCTGAGGCTAGGGGGGAGCTGCCATGAAGGCCCGGGCAGTGAGTCTGCATAGCCATGGCCTGGCTGAGAGCCTGGGTGTACACAGGTTCCGGAAGGGGATGGTCAGCCTGTATTCCTGTGGAGGTCAGACATGTGGCTCTGGGCTTCACCCCATCCGTCCCCATGCGACAGCCTCCCTCAGCATGGGGCTGCTGTGGGGGCACAGTGAGGTGTGCCTCAGGGCCTTGCTATGACTTAGGTGCCGCTTGCCACTATGACTGCTGCCCCTTTTTGAACCAGGGTCTTCCTGCAGTTCAGGCTGGCCTTGAACTCACTGTGTAGCCCACGCTGGCCTCAAACTTGCATCGATCCTCCTGCTTCAGCCTCCCTCCCAAGTGGATTACAGGCATGCACCACCATGCTTGGCCCGCTGGCAATTTTAAGTCCACTGTGCACACTGCTCCCTCACTCACACCAGAATGAAGGAACCCACAGCCCAGGGAGGAGGAGGAGGAGCAGCACCCTGCATTCAGTCACATTTCTGCTCTCTTCCCATCTGTGCTGCACAGCCACGAGCTGGAGCACCAGGCCACGCTATGCTCAGAGCTAAATCCAGGGTCAATAGGTACAAAGCAGAACTGGTCCTCCAAGGGCAAGAAGGTGCATTTTCAAAGAAGGGATTTCACAGATCAAAACTGCAAGCTGTGAGCTGGTCCCGTCAGCATTTGCAAACACGCCAGTGCACAGGTGCTAATTAGGTGTGTGGCATTGCTGCCAGCTCTTTACAAATATCTCACTTAATCCTTGTACTGACCTCCTGAGACAGGGACTATTTTTATCTGAGTTTGATTTCCATGTGGTCCCCTTGTCATTCGAAGCAGCTGTCTTGAAACAAGGAAAGGCAGAGCTCTTGGGTCACTGAGGAGAAGGATCACAGCTACGCCAGGTCCAGGGCACAAGGGGCCTGGGCAGAGTGGTGGCCTCTGATCCTGTGAGCACCGGAGCAGGCACTGGACACCTACTGCATGTCCAGCACTGCCCTCTGTGGGGTCACAGCACAGTGGAGGGAACATACAGCTAAACAAACACACTTCCAGCCCACATGACAGGTGGCAAGGACCAGGGATGCAGTGCACAGCAGCAGCAGTGGTGACAGAGGGGGGCACTGTCACCTCTGGCCACAGGAGCAGGCTTCCTACAAGGTGCACATCTCTATCCCATGTGGACCAGAGCTCAAGGCAGAGACCCAGGGGAGGAGAGTCCAAAGCTGCACCGCGTTAGTGCTAAGTGCTTGGGGGTTACCATTGGTACTAAGAGACGGGAAGGGTTGGGGATGTGGGATAAGGTGGTGGCCTTCACTGTGAGACTGGAAAACTGGGAGTCTCGAGGGAATCCATGGTTTCTGATCCAGAAAGATCATTTAAGCAGCTATGTGTGTGAGGGTGGAAAAACCCAAACAGAACGGTCAGGAAGCGGCTTCAACCGACCAGACACAAAACGGCGAGTGTGCGGATGAGCGCACCAGGTTCCAGGGCGTTTAGGGACACCAGGCTTCGGACTGACTGGAACACTAGTGAGGTGACAGCTGGTTCTGACACTGAGGTCCACGCGCGGGGCTGGGGCTGGTTTCCAGGGGGCGAGGCTGACCTCAGCAGCGACGGGTGTGGGGAGCCCTGCTGGGCGGCAGGAGTTGCCTGCATTCCCTCAGAAGGGTACCCAGAAAGTCACTCACATTGCCTTTGAATAAAACACGCTGCACTTGGTTCTGTCCTCACGGTGACAAAGCACAGCTCTTTGCTGGAAAGTCAGAATCTTTTGAATTAGTAACCTCTGAGTAGGAAAATTGGTTCTGTTAGTACCCCACCCCACCCCTTGGCCCTGCTGTCTGTCCCCAGAAATCAGCAGCCCAGGACCTATTACTCGGGAAGCCTGGGTGATTTTATGCTCAGGAAGAGTGACCAGGACTGTGAAAGGGGGCAGAGTAGAGTCACTGACCAGAGGTGCAGCCTCACGTTTGGCTGCAAGGGAGGTGAAGCTTCCAACCTCTGCCCCTGAGGGTCGGATGTCACTGTCTTGCCATCCGCCCCATGGAAAAGGCTCCTCCTGAGACCTCCAACTCAGCGTCCTGTCCTGGGCTGGGAGGCTGTCTGCAGTGAGGTACTACCCACCCCACCAGCGGAGCCGTGCTCAGGGTGAGATTCAAGCGCTTCATCTCCCCTCGGTCTCTGGAGGCTGCTGAGGACAATCTTGTGTCCTTCTTACCCCAAAGTTCCTGTAGCCACCAGTAATCCAGGGTCCAGAGCCCGCAGGATGCCTGGCCTATCCAAGCATCCTCCTTTGCAATTTCAGTGGGTGTTCAAGCTGCCCCCTAGGCCATGAGCCCCTACAGACAAACATGCAGGGCTGTCCACTCCTGCGGTCCAGGTCAGATGGCCTCTGCGGAGCCCCTCCTTCCAGTGGGGTCCATCACCCAACCCAATGCTGCATCCCTGCAAGGCACATAGGGCACCTTGCCAGCCAAGCACAGGGTTGCCTGGCAACAATGCTCCAACTGCTGTCTGCCTAGTGTTAGGAGAAAGGCCTAGGTTCAAATCCTGGCTCCTCCATTGTCAGCGTGGTTGGATGAGGTTCACCCCTCTTGCTTCCTCACACCCTGGTCACCCCTCCCGGGTCTTCCTGGCCAGTCCCTGGGATGGCAGGACAGAGGGACAGAGGCCCTCCAGGTCACCCTCTGTGCCTGGCTGTCATGTGGCAGGTGCTCCGCTGGCCCTGCCCTCCGAAGCTGTGGTGGTCCTGGGGCTGGCAGAGGTGGGATGGATGCCAGGCTGAGCTCAGCCCCTGATTCCATATTGCAGAGCTGGTGGGGAGAAGCCCTGGAGCTTCAGACACAGAGAAAGTCCCGAAGAGGCCGGAGACTAAGTTCCTGCTGCTCCCGGATGGGCGTAGCCAGGGCTGTGAGATCGGGCCACACCTGCCCAACTCTCTGCAGGAGTGCGGCTTCAACGCGTCCCAGCCGCTGGTGCTCATCATCCACGGGTGGTCGGTACGTGGGGCTCCCGCCTTGGTGCTTGGGCACCTTCTCCTTTCCGGTGGCCACGCTTGAGGGTGGGGGGCAGGCAGGTGGGGAGCCCCGAGTGACCAACGTCTTCCACTGTGGCCGCTTCATGTTCTAGGCAAACTGAGGCCCCAGACCACACGGCTCGCTGGGGTGCAGGAGGGGACACAGGTAGGAGTGAGGCCCTTGTTGGTGCTTCGGGCTTTGAGGAGTGGCTAGGAAACCAGAGACTAGGATGCCTAGTGAGATGTCTTATCGGAGAGGTGCAAAGCCAGCTGCAAATAACACACACTTGGGTCCTCAGTGGTTCAGATAAAACAGAGGCTCCTTTCCAGAAACCTAAAGCAGCACTGACCAGGCAGCTTTGGTCAGCAAAGTCAAGTCTCCAACTCCTTCCAGCTCTTGTTTTCATAATCTGAAGTAGCACTAAGGAGCCAGCCATCACATCTATATTCCAGGCGGCACAAGATAATTTGGAAGCCAGATGTCACCTGTGCCCAAAGGCACCTGGTAGACGTGGTAAAGGGGATGACCTCAGGACCTTAGCACAGCAGCCCCGCCTCACCTCTACGGTCTCTTCTCCACCCAGGACCTGTACTATCACGATTCTGCCCTCTCTGCTGCTGCCCCTTCCTCCTGGACCTCCCTAGACCTAAGGCCACCACTCTCCTTGCCGTCCTCCTTCTCTTTCTGAGCTGGGGCTTCTCCTCCAACTCTGCAGCTGGGAAGTTCAGGGAGCCCCAGAACTCATCAGAGAGCAGATGGGGGGACACTGAGACAGGGGGCCATCCTCCCAGGGCCTTGGTCACAGACTTTCCCCTTGCTACAGGCTCACGAAGCTCCCTGCCGGGTGATGACACACTGTGGTCATCAGGCCAGGAACGTCTGCCAAAGCTCAGGCACATGTGGTTTTCCCACCCACAGATGGATGGCGCACTGGAGGGCTGGGTACATCAGCTGGTGGCCGCACTGGGGACCCGGCCCGTGAACGTGGGGCTGGCGGACTGGCTGGCCTTGGCCCACCAGCACTACTCGGTGGCCGTGCGCAACATACGCCTGGTTGGCCAGGAGGTGGCCATGATGCTGCGCTGGCTGGAGGTGAGGCCCCTCCCTACCTGCGCAGCTGAGGTCCCCCAGGGAGGCAGCAAAGGTCGAGGGACACAGGCAGGGGTGACCCAGGCTGAGCTGCGTGACCCTACCACAACCTGGAGGTCACAGAGCTCACACAGGAGACCTGTCCCTCCAGCAGGGCATCAGTGTCCCAGGCATGCAGGGTCCTAGCTAGCTGCACCCCTACCCCAAGACAGCCCCCCAAGGGACAGAGACGTGGCTTTCCCAGGGTGGGAGTAGAGCCCACAGGATGCCTCCCCTGCCCGGGCTGTTACTGTCTCCCAGGAATCCATGCACTTTTCCCCGAGTGATGTCCACCTGATCGGGTACAGCCTGGGTGCCCACGTCTCAGGATTCGCAGGCAGCTTCATGGACAGAAGGCACAAGATTGGGAGGATCACAGGTAATCTGTAGGCCACAGGTAATTGGTGGGGAGTCAATGGGGCACATTCCTCTCCTCTTCTAACTCCCCGGCTGTCCAAGCTGCTGCCGTGCCTGAAGATTCCAGGGCAAAGGGTGCCACCCACAGCCCGGTGGCCCACCCATCCCTCTGCTTGTGTGGTAACCCCTCCTAGGCAGGCCAGCCAGACCCCGAGGCACAGAGTCAGCCCACGGTGCAGCTCCACAGGGAGAACCGCACGGAACAGCAGGTTTCCAACCTATGCTCTAGGGACAGACCCTAGGGGATGAACTGGGAGGGAAAGTCCCAGCCTTCACAGTGTGTGCCTCAGTTTCCACTTTCATGGAGCACCCAGGCTTGCTCCAGAGCCCCCGAGTGGAAGGAGGAAGTTCGGTAACCCAGGAGCAGGGCCTGGCACGTGTGTAACAAGGAGGTCCCCACACCGGGGACATGTCAAACTCGGTTCTGGTCAGATCATCCCCTCCAGGTTCCCGGGCCAGGACACCTGCAGCTGTGGACGCAGGCCCTTCTCAGTCAGGACCCAGAGTGCTCCACCTTCTGCCAGCCCTTCCTGCAGCTCTAGACTTCAAAAGTACAAGATTTCCTCCCCACTTTACAAACACACCATAGCCTCTTGTGTCTGGAGCCTTTGCCCACAACATCCCCTGCGCCCACCACATTCAGTACCTTGCCTTGCGGCTCGGGCCCGGTGTATGGAATTAGAAAATAATACTGCTTATATAGAATTAAATATAATTCCAAGCCCTAGCCAACCTACCAAACTCCTATTCATCCCTCAAGACCAACCAGGCTAAACCAAAGAATATTTAAGATAAAAAACAGAATTGTAGGGACTTTCCTGTCAAGGAAGAACTTTTTAAAAATTATATTAAATACTGGGTTAGGAGCATTTTTTAAAACTTCTATTATCTTCTATTACTATCCTTCATTCTAAAAAACATATTTAACATGAGATCAACATGTGGTAGTATCTTATTTCCTGCCAAAACAAGCCCAGTTCTTATATAAAATTTTGCCCCAAAAGGCAAACTAGAACTTATCTTTGGGGAATGTCTTATTTTTCCACGTACAGCAATCCACACTCATCTGCACATGATCCTCCCATCACCTGAGCATCACCCCTAAGTCTCCAAGCTCCGAATTCTGGCCGAGTTCCTCTTCCCACGGGACCAGGGCCCACACAGCCGCTTTCACTGCATCCAGGCCCCCGGACGATTGGACCATGACCACGCCTCCCACTCGCACAGGCGCAGTCCGCGCTGTGTCTGCGCTCTGCTCAGTCCCTGGGCACAAGTCAGCATCCTGGGTGGACGTGGGACTTCACCTCCCATGCAGGGCACTGGCTTGGGTGTTCACTAACACCTAGTTATGATTTATACTATCATTATTTTAAGTGTTAACGTGTCATTTATAGTATTTAATTCCATATTAGCATTATTATTTTCTAATTCCATACACTGGGCCTGAGCCACAAAGCAAGGTACTAAACGTGTCTGCTAGGCTGAGGATCCTAACCCAGGCTTATTTAGGGGGTGCCAGGCTTATGATTACAAGCATCCTGAAAAATCTTGCTGGGGGTTATTTTCTGGCTAGGTCTTCCTTTGGGAGAAATACAGGCTACGTGCCTATTCCCACATGGTGAATGTAATTATTATGGGTCATAGACACACACTAATAAAGAAGGAGAGAGTGGCAGTCACTTACACCAAAGCAGCGTGTCACCTCCTGGTTCTCTCTCTCTTCATCTTCATCTGCTGGGTAAGTGCAGCAGCCTGGCCAGCACCTGTGGCCCCAAGAAGCCCTGTCCAACAGCTGTATCTTCCCCCCAAACAGAGGCCGCTCTGGGTGTCCCAGAGAAATGATGCTAGTGCCCAGAAAGGCCGCTGTGCTTAAGGACAAAGCTACTGCGGTGATTGCAGGGCATGAATTCTTTCTTTGCTGGGTAGTTGCACTCCAGATGATGAGTGTGGTGGGTTTTGTTTTTTTTTTTTTTTTCATGCAAACAGATGCTCCTGAAGGTGGCTTAACTCAATCCAGTGTCCCCATCCCCTTAAGAATCTTAGTACATTAGGTGACTCTCCTGCCTCTCTCCCCTCCACCATGCCCCCTGTGTCTAAGCTCCAGCACCATGAACTGCTGTGGGTTTTCACCAGGGAAGGGCTATGCGAGCTTTCCCATCTTGCTCCAGCCCTCACCTGCCTCCGCCTCACCTTGCCTCGCCTTCCTGCTAGGGCTGGACGCTGCCGGTCCCCTGTTCGAGGGGACACCCCAGAGTGAGCGCCTGTCTCCAGATGATGCCACTTTTGTGGACGCCATCCACACCTTCACCCAGGCGCACATGGGCCTGAGTGTGGGCATCCAACAGCCCATTGCCCACTACGACTTCTACCCCAACGGGGGCAGCTTCCAGCCCGGCTGCCACTTCCTGGAGCTCTACAAACACCTGGCACAGTATGGTCTGAACGGTGAGGGGGAAACAGAGGGAAGGGGGTTGGGGAGGTAGTCCCTAAGCCTACTGGCAGGGGCCAGGCTGGTAGTCCCCAGCAGGCCACTCTTAGGGCAAGCCGAGGAGCCAGCTTCTGGTGCTGTGACTCCTCACCCTGCTGGGAGTCCCCACAGAGGCCTCTCCAGGGCGCCAGGCCTCCCAGAGGTCATGTCCTGGCACTGGTGCTGTCTCTTCTCTGGAAGTTCCCAGCTTAGGGGGCCCTCTGTCCCAAGCCAACTGCATATCCACTTTACCAGGGCCTGGTTTATCCATCCCTGACTCACAGGAATGGGACTAATCCCCTACATGACAGCCCCTGGGTCGTGACCCCACCTCCCTCTCAAATCCCCAGGCCTAAGTAGTGCCACACAGGGCAGTAAAAGGCACAGGACTGAAGGACAGAATGAGCCATCACAGCTGCGCCTGCCGCAGCTTTTATAGAACTTCATTCCAGAGCAGGCTGGCCACACGCCACCTCCCACCCCTCCCCTCTGCCACAGCATTCTGAGGGCCACCCATCCCCAAGCCCCAGAGTGACCTCTCCACCCCTGTCCCTGTACACCCCATTCTGGCTGCAGTCCCCGCCTCCGCCCTGCCCCAGCAACCTGCTAGAGACACACTCACCCCGACTTTCTTTCTTTCTTTTTTTTTTTTTAAATCGGTACTGGGTATCAAACTCATGACCATCTGCTTGCAAGGCAGGTACTTATGCCACTGAGCTAAATCCCCAGCCCCGCGGCTTTCTTTCTTTCATCCCTGAGTCACTGCCAGCCCACTCCTGCCTTGACATCTCCAGCTTGGCCAGTTGCTAAACTTCAGAATGATGCAACCCACTAGGTAGGCGTGGTGGCGCATGCCCGTAGTCCCAGCTCTTGGGAGGCTGAGGCTGTGAATTCCAGGCCAGTCTGGGCTCCAAAGTGAGTTCAAGACCAGCCTGAACTGCACAGTGAGACTCTGGCTCAAAAATACCAAAAACAAAAAACAAAATGACACAATCTATGCATTCAGTTAGCCTCATTTTGGGGTGGGGGATCCTCGGTTTCCTCAGCCCGGAGTTTAAGTGTCCTCACCCTGGAGCTGTTCTCCCAGTCACCTCTGACCTGAAGACAGCTTCCCATGTCCCCTGCAGCTGGGGACCAGAGGAATCCAGAAAGAAAGAAGGCTCGGGGCTGGGGATTTAGCTCAGCGGCATAAGCGCCTGCCTTGCAAGCAGGCAGTCATGAGTTCGATCCCTGGTACCGATAAAAAGGAAAAAGACCAAAAAAAAAAAAAAAAAAAAAAAAAAGAAAGAAGGCTCAAGGGTCACAACTTTGTTGAGGTTGGGCCTGTTGACCCTGGTGTGCAGGCTCGTCCTCCTGAATCCACTCCTAGGTCTTCGGGATTCAGTGGCCAAGTTGGGACACGAGGTGGGTGCTGTGGGAGAGGCTTGGCCTGCACTGGGCACCCCCACAACCCAGGAACACCTCATGATCCAGCTTAAGAAAAGAAAGTTACCCAGACGTGGTGGCACACTCCTATAACCCCAGCACTGGTAATCCGGGGGACGAAGGCAGAGGGATCACAACTTCAAGCCTGTCTGGGCAATGTAAACAAGCCCCTGTCTCAGAATAAAAAATTTTAAAAAAGACAGGGCTGCAGTTCAGTGGTAGAGTGCCCATGGGTTCCATCCCCATTACTGCAGAAAGAAAAGAGAAGAGGCGTCCCGGCAATCTACTCCCAGCAGCTCACCCTCCCACCCGTGTCTGGCCATCTTAGCCACTGGAGAAATCACCTCTGGCCATTTCACCTCCTTGCTTCCTTAAATAATCCACGCTTTGCCAGGTGAAGTGGGGTGTCCGTCCCTGAGGGTCCTCCCAGCCCGCAGTACAGAGGGCTTCTCCCAGATGCTAGCTGGCCTGAGGGAGAACCGTCTGTAGTTTTCCATCCAACACAACCCTCAGGAACCCACTCACCCCGCATATCACTGCTGACCTCTCGGGGCTGAGAAACCAGGTGATCCTCTGAGCCGAGGCTGCGGGGGTCAGTGACGCCGTCCTCCTGCCTGTGTCGCAGCCATCCCCCGGACCATAAAGTGTGCCCATGAGCGGGCTGTGCACCTTTTCATCGACTCCCTGCTGCACGAGGATGCACAGAGCACGGGTTACCAGTGTAGCGGCATGGATAGCTTCAGCCAGGGCCTGTGCCTGGACTGCAGGAAAGGCCGCTGCAACACCCTGGGCTACCACGTGCGCCAGCAGCCGTGGGCCAAGAGCAAGAGCCTCTTCCTGGTGACCCGCGCCCAGGCACCCTTCCGAGGTAAGCACCACGCAGCCCTCCACACCTGTCCTGAGGTTTCAGTGCTTCAGGCCCTGGGCAGCACAGTGCCAACTTCCTTGTCCCAAGAACAGGCCACCCTGTGGTCAAGGGTCAGAAGAAGAAGCCCTGAGATCTTTTAACTTTTTTTGGGTGGGGGGGAAGTATCAGGGATCAAACACCCAACCTTGCACTTGCCAGGCAGGCACTTGTGCCACTGAGCTAAATCCCTCCCCCTTGTCATTTCTGAAATGGTGCCTGAGTTGCCTTCTGTGTTCATCACCGTGGCCCCTAGAGGGCTGGATGCCGAAGGTCCTTGAAGTCGCCTGGGCCACCCCACTGCCATGGTCCAGTGACCTGGACAATCTCCACGTCAGACTAGAACATGGTTCTAGCTGGCCAGCGTCTCTGTCACCCTGGCTGGTGAGATGACAGCCTCACTGCAGCTACCCGGGGAGACATTTGGTGAGAAAACGCAGGCCTGGGTGAAGAGGCAGAGCATTGGTAAGCGTGGCTTTGCTGCCAGCCGCTCCTGTGACGGCCACCTGGTGACGAAACCGTCGTGGGCCTCAGCAACGGAGTGACAGGCAGGGACGAATCACCAAATAAGGGACCTCCATGCCCCCCGCCCCCGCCGCCTCCCAGATGGGGAAATTGAGCTCCCTCCAAAGCGGCCCCAAGGGAGGACGCCAACACGATCATGGTGGCAGAGGACTGAAGTCAGGATCTGCCCTTCCACCGGGTCCCCCTTGCCCAGTCGTCAGGCAGCACCCCGGAAGGAAGAGCTGGCGGCTGGAGGCTGGTGGCTGAGAGAGCCCTGCCCACCTAGCACACGGCCTCCTCTGCGACCTCTCTGGTGGTGTCAGGGCACCATGAACCGCCGTGCTATGACAGCCTGATGCAGGCGCCGGAACATACATTCATGTGCACGCACATATGCATGCGCATAAACAGGCTCGCAGAAACGCCCGCATGCACACACACACACATGTACGCATGTGTACCACAAAGCCCTCATGCCTTGCTCTTCCCTGGCGACTGCGTCAGGCACCAGCGGCGTCCGTGGGGATCCTGGGGCTCCAAGGTCTCCAGCTAGGCAGAGTTTCATGCCCAGCAGGGACCTAGGCGCCACGAGAAAACACTCGCTCACCGAACACGTGTTCACCATTGCTGTCCCGCACCGACGGCCAAGGGGATGTGAGAGCCGTGAGGCCTCCCAGAGCCAGCATCTTCTGGATCCGAATCAGCTTCCTCTGCGAAGAGGAGACACACGACGTTCTCCTCGGTTCTGGAGCACTGCTGTCCTTTCAGGGTCGGGGCGCTCTGCGCTGCCCCCCCAACGCCAGACCTGCCGGGTCCCACCTGCCGGGCCGGCCAGGGGTCGGAACCCTCGCTGCCGTGCAGCATTGAGGGCCTTGCCTCAAATCGATCTCAGCAGCCTCGCTGCACCCATCTCGCAGTGCCGGGTCTGGTCCCCCTGAGCTTTGGGCACACCCGCTGGGGCTCCGCAGATGCGACCTCCTGCTCGGCCCCGGTGACACCCCTGGGGACGGCCTGCACTGTCAGGCCTTGGCGATTATCGAGTGCTGACTCGGTTTTGCGGGTGTATCTTCCTCCAGAACCGAGGAGCCTGGGTTCAAATTCCGTCCCCTGTCTAACCACAGGCAACCACCGCTCTTCAAACCTCGGCCTCCTCGCCTGCAGGTCGTCAGCATCTTTACCATCAGATCAGACGCAGTCCCCACAGGAAACAGCGCTCAGTTCACCTCGGCAGTGGGAAAGAGAGGAGAGGGGTGCGCCTTGCAGAGGCAGTAGCAGTAGGGAAACCGCAGGAAGGAGCAGGGTAGCGATGTGAGCATGAGCACCAAGCCCAGAGCAGGCTGGAGGTGCCGCCGATAGTCACAGCTGCCACTCGGCAGGAAGGAAATACCCTGCTTCTGTCCCGTACCTCTATCTCCTGCTAGGCCTCACCAGGGGCGAAACCCTACCAGCAGCAGTTCAGCACGGAGGCCAGGGCCCAGGCAGGCAGAGGAGCCCAGCGTGGAGTTAGCGCATGGCAGATGCGTGTCGGACTTCTGCAGACACGAGGTGTGGCTCAGGCTTCCTGCTCCTGCGGCTCTGCGGTGCAGCTCGGTCCTGTGCGGTCCAGGCCTCCACACACAGTGCCCATCACTACCCCCGGTAACCGGCAAGCCCCGTGGCCTTGCAGAGAATCGAGCCATTGACACAACCCCTCAGCCATCATCAGGGTGTCACAGCAGAGGTTGGCGCCTGGGAGGCAGGCAGAAGGCGAGGGGCCTCTTGCACGATGGCTTCTGGTCTTTTATGTGTTCTGTTTGCGGGAAAAGTTTTTCTTTTTCCATTCTAATTAAACTTGGTGCTTACCGTGGAAAACGGATTGGGCAGAAGAGCATGAAGAAGAGAATGAAATTGCCTGTGTGCTCCCTGGAGCTTGTCGGTATTTCTGTGAATTCCCCACTTCTGCACATTCTGCTTTGTGGAGTTGGCCTTGTACTGGAAACACAATCTCATAGCCTTCTGGGATTTTTTTTCTTTTTCACCTCATTCGTGAATATTAGAATCATTCCAAAAATACCTTTTCATGGCTTCCTAAGAGTAAACCACTCGGTTAGGGCTCCTAATTCGGTCCAGCAGTCTGACTTGGGATTGAAATGCGGCCGGTGAGTTGCCAGTAAGAGGCCAGTAAGAGCCCGGTAGTGGGAGGATATGACAGGGCCCTGGCTTCCTTCTCTGTACAGTGACCTAGGAGCAGGGATGCGGTGAGTGTCCCAGAAAGTTCGCAGAGAAATGAGAGCATCCTGTGAAACCGCTCGGTGTCTGTGCCGTAGCAAAGCATTAAACAGTAGTTGTGAGGATTATTGCTAGGTGGGGAAGGCATGGAAGTGGTGTGAGTCTGGGGAGCGAGAAAAAGTGGGACTCAAGGAGCCAAGCAAAGAAAGCCAGAGGGGCCAGACCAGAGTAGCCTGCGCAGAATCTAGGGTCTGAGAGGGCCGTCCCGCAGGAATGGCCTGAAGGATGTGCTGGGCTGGCCAGGCCAGGGGGGACTCTGGGAGGCCAGGAGTCATCTGCTTGGTGCTGCTTCTCTGTAGTACCCAGGAGCCCACAGCAAGTGCTGCTTCCAAGCTCGAGCTCCCTGTGGGAGGAGAGGACAGAGTTCACCCTGGGGAGTCTGAGCTCCGATAGGACTTCTCTGCTGCCCATCTTCGTCCTGTCAGCGCTGGCTGCCTGGTGTGGCTCAGCATCCCCATCGACTCCCCGCTGGGTGAGGCTGGGGGGGAGGCTGGAGCCTGCCAGTTTTCCTTGGTGCAAAAATCTGATCCTTGGTGGCCCTGCAGAGGTGGAGGGCCGACCTCGAGTGGGGCTCAGCTAACACCCCTATTCCCGGGGCTTCTGCTCCCCACCCCAGCTAGACTCACTTAACCACCCATCTGCTGACCGCTCACTGCTGCCACCATTCCAGAGAGACCACTAGCATCCACCAATTTATTCTGAATAAATAAGTTAATGCTAAAGAATTATTACTAGGCAGGCTTGGTGGTGTGTGCTTATATTCCCAGCTACTCAGGAGGCTGAGACAGGAGGATCACTTGGGCAGAGGTGTTCAGGGCCAGCCTGGGCTTCCAGGACTGTGTGTGGTCTGTGGTCTGTGGCCCATGCTTTGTAGCCGGGACTGTATGCACCCCACTAATCAGCCTCACAGACAAAGGCAGAGTACTGTGGAGAGTGTTCTCATTCACCGTGCCTTCGGTGCCAGAGGGTGCCCTGGCCACATACATGAACCACCCCAGGTGTCCACGGGCACCTGGCAGGCTTTCCTGCTGTTTACCGCTTTTCTCCTGCAGTGCCGGGGATTGAACCCAGGACTTACAGATGCCAAACCAGCGCTGTGTCGCTGAGCTACGTCCTGGTCCCTTATCATTACTATGTCACAGACACGATGTAAGTCCCACATAGATATTTCAGACAGAGAAGGAGAATGAAGACAAAAAGCACTCATTCATAATCCCACCCAGGTGGGTGTGGCTGGCCTTTTGGTATCTGTCCATCCACATTTTCCCCCTGGAGTGTTTTATACTATTTACTCATTTATTTTTCTCAATCAGATTTTATCGGTACATTTTAGATATACATAATGATCACATACATCACAGAGAATTTGTGCCTGTACATGATATACTCTGATTCTTTTTTTCCATCCCTCTACCCTCCTTTCAACCCCTCCTGCCTCCCCATTCACAAAAGCTTTGTTTCTATGTTTTCCTTCTTTTCTCATTCATTTTTTCCTTTCCTTTCTTTCCCCCTCCTCCCTCCCTTGTTCCCCTCCACATTTGAACTTTTTTGTCTTGGTTACTTTTTTCTCGTTGCTGGGACAAAACACTCAACCCTAAAATGAAGGTAGGAAAGGTTTATTTAGCTCACCTCTGTGGAGGTTTCAGTCCATAATCAGTTGGCCCCAGGCAGGATGGCATGGCTGAGGGGCAATACATCAAGGCAGCAGCCAGAACCAAAGGAAGGGGCAAGCCTCTCTTTTCTCCCTTATATTGTACACAGGCCACCTCCCCACACCCCCCAGGGCAGGTATAGCACTCACGAAATGTCTGTGTCCTCCTGTTGCAGTATATTTACAAAGGCTGAGTATATTTACAAAGTAAGGATCCTGGCTCCTTGCTCAGTCTCTTAGTTAAAATTTTAACCTCAAATTGACACAGTGTATCAGCTATAACAGTTTTCTTCCTATTTCACAATATCTATTACACATTTTGGTCCTTAATAACACTTTCAGTTTTTCACACCAGAGAAACAATGTATTTACACGTGTCTGATTTATTTCACATAAGAGTGTGGTCTCAAGGGGCATCCATTACCTAGAAATGTCTTGAGCACATTCTTTATGGCAGAGTATTGTATAAAAAAACACATCTTTTTCCATTCACCAGTTGATGGGCATATGGGCTGTTTCCAGGATTTGCCACTATAAACTGTGCCACTGTAAACATGTACGTGCAAATATTACTGTGGTATAACTTTTTAAATCTTTTGGGAAAATACCAAGAAAGAGAATGCCTAGTGTCTTGAGGAATCTCCACACTAATTTCCCCAGTGGTTGCACCAGTTTACATTCCTATCAGCAGTGGAAAGGGGTTTCTTTTTCCCCACAGCTCTGCCAGCCTTTGTTACTGGTTGATTTCTTAATAATAACCATTCTTTCTGGGATGAGATGGAATCTCAGTGTTGTTTCAATTTGCATCTCTCAAATGACCAGGACGTTGAACATTTTTTCATGTATTTATTTGCCGTTTATACTTCTTCATCTGAGAAGTGCGTATTCATCTCAGATGCCCATTGTTGCACTAGGTCTTTAAATCTGGGGTCTCCCTGCATTTTTAAATTTCAGAATGTATGTGACTATAAGATTCAGAACTGCCCCCACTGTCTCTCCGCCACAGTCTATCATTACCAGTTCAAGATCCAGTTCCTCAACCAAATCGAGAGCCCTGTGGAGCCAACCTTCACCCTGGCACTGCTTGGGACCAAGGAGACAGAGCAGCGGGTGCCCCTCACACTGTGAGTACAACGGCCACCAGGAGTGGGGACACCAGGCTCACTGTCCTCTCGGGCAGACCTGGAGGGGACAGCTCGTGTGTGTGACAGAGGCTATGTGGGAAGGAGGCTGGCAGGGCGGAGGGGAGACCACAGGGAGACGCCAAATCCTGTCCACTGCTCCGGGGAAACCACAGCAAGATGGGGCTGTATTGTGGGCTCCATGGTTCCCTCCCAATGAGCCTGTCCTCTGCCACACACCCTGTGTACCTGCCATACCTCTCACCTCAGGGCTCCCCAGCACCCTGGGACCCCAGCCTCACACAGACTCTGGGAGGTCAGGACCCCGCACCCCTCTGGGCTGGCTGTGAGCTTCTGAAGACCACATGTCAGCCTCCAGCCATCACACTCACTGGCTCATCTGAGGGCCCCTCCAACTCCCCACCACACCCCAGCCCCATCCAGACCTCCCCAGTGCCTGGCGATGAAAGCTGCTGACAAGACCCTGCTGAGCATGATGTGTGCTTTTTCTATGTGCTTTTCACCCTTCTTGGGCTCTGTGCTGTGCAGACATTTACAAGGCGGGTAGGACACCAAGGAGCAGAGATCGGGGTGCAGCCTGGCCCGAGCCCCAGTCTCAGGGGCTTCTCCCAGGAACTAGGAAGAGGGCACTCACTGAATCTCCCCAGTTGCTCCTCTCAGAGAGATCTTTGTTTCTCCAGCCCGTCTCCATTTTTAATTTTTGTTTCTCATGTCTGCTAGCACACGTTCAGTCTGTAACGACTGCCTCTCGGGGATGTGCAGCTTTCCCAGTTCTGTCCATTTTCACCCAGCGACACTCACTGCCATCTCTGCTGCCTTAACAAAACTGGGCAGAAGTGTCACCCACGTCCCCACAGCCTCATGCATCCCCAGAGCTTCTTGTCACCGCTACGACCAAACCAAGCTGCTCCTGATCTCCTTTGTGTCTTACAGGGGCGATCGGATCGTTGCTAACAAGACCTACTCGGTTCTGGTTCCCCTGGAACTAGATGTGGGCGAGCTGGTCCTGGTCAAGCTCAAGTGGGAGCATGGCACAGGCTGGGCCGGCGTCTGGAGCTCGGTGCAGGCCATCATGCCGTGGGGAAGGGACCCACGCTCCGCTCACCTCGGCCTCAAGCTGGGGGCCCTCCAGGCGAAAGCCGGCGAGACACAGCAAAGGTGACAGTGACCCACGTGGACTCAGTGTAGGGAGGGGCCCCCTGGACACTCAGCGACCCTGCCTGTCCCCGGTCCTCACAGCCACAGGCAGAGGATGGAGATTTGTACCTCATATTGTTTATTTATCTATTTAGTCTTTTTTGAGGCAGGGTCTCACTATGCACTTCAGGCTGGCCTTGAATTCTTTGTAGCCCAGGCTAGACTCACACTCACAGCAATCTTCTTGCCTCAATTCCTGAGCACTAGGCTGACAGGTGTGCCCAACCATGCCCGGTGGCACCTGGTCTTCTAATTCCCTGGCTGCCTCTTCCCACCCCCTAGGGCTAAGGGTCACTTCCCTGGAAAGCAGATGATGGGCAGTTCTGCTTACCAGAAAGGCTGTCTCAGTTCTCTCTGTGATCTCTCCCATGAGCAATCCAGAAGACTAGGCCGCGTCTCTCCTCTGAGTTACAGAGCTGCTGCCCCAGGGGCTGCAGCAGGAAAGAGGGGACGGAAGGCCCTGTGGGCAGTGGCCAGGCAGGGGCACAGCCAGGGCCTTGCTGCCATGCAGATCTGCCTGGCTCCATGTGATCCATGCCCATGCTCCTTTAGTTTCGTCTGCATCCCCCTGAGCAGAGCCGTGGGCAAATCTGCTGGTTCTTGCCCCTTCCCAGGGCTCTGGCCAGCGCGTTCAAGGGGAACATTTATTCAAGTAGGAAGCATCAGTGTCTGTGTCTACACAGGACCCAGTGCCACTGAGGGGCTGCCCCACCCCCAACCCACCCCCAAAAATACTCTGAGTGTGGCTCTCAGGATAAAGAAATCCAGGGCCTAGCTAGGAAAAGGAGATGAACTGATTTTATAGATGGTGAACTCCCCACCAGAGCCCACATTTAGGGCTCGCATGTGTCACGTGCTAGGGGGCAGGGTGGGCTCCCGGCTCAGGCTGCACCGGAGAACCAGGATCCCGACTCCACCGCCCACCCCTTGGACTTTTTTTCCTAAAAGGGATTCATAAGGTGTCAGTCACAGAACCAGTAGCAACTACCAATCGCTCTGCACCCTTTGCAAACCAAAATCTAGAGTCAGGAAGCAAACACCAGCCCCCATAGCTGTAACCCACGCTGGCAGACACAAGGGGAAAGTAAGCTAAGCCCTGTACTCTGTGCCTTAGTGGGAGGGATCTCCCTCCCCACAAGGCCAGTCCCTGCCAACAAGGTCAGATAGGGAAGGGAAGAGAAAAAGTAAGACCTAAGCAGTCGGCTAGGCATGCTGAGTAGATACTCAATTCCAAAGCAATTACATAAGCGCAAAGCCAAAGTCAATAAATCATCACTGGTTCCCCCTGAGTTTGGCAGGAATTAAAAGAGGTAATATCCAAGGTAAAGAGTACAAGAATGGACATCCTCAAAAATTATATTACAGAAGCTTTCCAGAGAAATTTCACTCACTGGATGTTTACTGAGTACCTACTTAAACCAGGCAGCATGGTAGGCACCAGATACACAGCCAAGGACAGGAAAGATGCCATCCTTGGCCTCGAGGAGCTTACATTATCAGTATGTTAAATCTGCATCACATGCCAGCCCAGGATTTTACTTGTGTCTGCTGTACCTCTGGGGTGTTTGAACACACACTAAAAACGTGCACAAGGGGTATGTGTGTACAAAAAATGTACTTTGCAGAGCTCTTTGCAGACAATCTCAACATTCCCTCATCAGTGGGAAATACTAAATGCCCTGTGGTGCATCCGTAAAATGGCACGTCATGAAGCAGGTAAAAAAAAGACAGTAAAATGAGTTGAAATGTGTTTACATGAGCAGGCCCCATGAACCATTAGCTGATGAAAAGGAAAAGCTGTGGAGAATGCAGACAGTGAAACAGCACTCCTGTTCCAAAGCTGCATTTGTATGTGAACATTGCTATGTGCATAATGATAAAAATGGGCTAAGAAAGACATGAACCAAACCACGGAAGTGGGGGGCACTGGGGAAAGGGAAGGGGCGATGGGAAAGTCCATCTTTAACACCTGGCTTTATATATTTCCTTGCCATTTGAATTTTCCAAGAATGCATTCCTAAATTATTCACAGCACTTTTTAATTTTAAAAAGTATGATTTAGTAAAGATCTGGCTATAGATGCAAACCAAAAACAGAAGAAGCCATATATTAACATTGTCTGCTGCAGAGAGAGAAGATAGGTCCCTGGGCCAGCCGAGGAAGGCAGGGCAGCAGGCTGACCCAGCACCAGGGGGCGGGCCTTGCACCCCGAGTCCCTGAGAACTGGGGAGAGCTGGGGTCAGCTCTGCCTCACATGGGATGACTCAAGGGACGAGAATGTTTAGCCTGGAGGCCAATGGTCACCTTTGTGTCTGTACGAGCTGTTGGAAGGGGGAGGTGGGAACCCTGAGCCCCGGCTGTGTGCATTCAACAGTGCACCTCACCCAGAGCAGAGCCCCAGGTCTTCAGGCCAGGCCTCTACTGCCTGGGGTCTTATTTCTGTCTGAGTTTTGAGGATATTTCCAAATATAAGAGTCTAGTGCAGAAGGAAGGCATGATGGTGCAGACCTGTAATCCCAGCACTCAGTAGGCTGAAGCAGGAAGATTGTTGTGAATTTGAGACTATAAATTTGCACTATAAAGTGAGTTCAAGTCCAGCCTAAACTGCATAACAAGACCCCATCTCAAAAAGGCAACAACAACAACAAAAAATCTAATGCAGAAATGCCCATCACCTGTACCACACAATTTGAGTAGTATTTGACCAAGCAGGAAATACTTCTGTCTCAAACTTAATGCCTGTTTATTTTACGTTTTCTTTTTAGAATGACGTTCTGCTCAGGAAACAAGAAAGACCTCCTTTACCCAGCCCAGGAGAAAGTCTTCCTGAGATGTGAAGTAAACTCTAAAGCATTGAAGCCCAGGAGCAGATGAGCTGAATGAGCCATGGTGTAAAGTGAATTTAAGAAACCAAAATTTTGTAAAGGATCTTGCATAAAGTTTCAATAAAGTTTAAAGAGGGGGATATTTCACTACTATAAACTTAGTTTTAAAAACTATATCATACAAATATTTTCAAGTCTTAGTGCAACTAAAAAGTTCCCATCTTATCTCTGATTGAGTGTTAATAATTGTAAGTAAGCACAAATTTGTCCTGGATGGCTTATTCTGATCTGTTTTTGAACCGTGCTGGAAAAGGTTTATTACACAACTAGCACTTCTATAGAGCAACACTGTAATTAATCACTAGCTCTGTGCACCGGAGCACGAGCCTGGTCTTTTTTTTTAAAAAAAAGACAATACAGCCCAAAGGAAAATAATTTTAATTAAGCTAATAGATATCTCACACAAATCACACAATTGTTTCACTGAACCAGACGCACAGAAGTAGAATTTTATTAAAACGATGAGCAGGGAAAGTGAAAACTGAGCAGGTGGTCATTTTAATGACCAGGTTGCTAATTAAATAAACACAGGCCCCCTCTTTTACTAATGCTTGCCCCGAAAGTTAACAGAACACAGGATATTTCAAAGAATTGCTACAAACTGAATGTGCGTGCCCTGGCCCCAGTTCCTACATCAAAGCCTAAATCCTCAGAGCCACGGTGTTTGGAGGTTGTGCCTGTGGGACATGACCGCACCCCCAGAAACCAGCGTCCCCTCGTGGGTGAAGAGGCCGGAGCACTTTGCAGTCCGGCCCAAGGGGACGTGAGAAGGCGGCCACCTGACCCCAGACCGCCCACACCTCAGCCTTGGACTTCAGCCTCCAGAGCTGTGAGAAATCAAGATTTGGGTCTGTGATCACTGGCGACAGGCAGCCGGAAAACAGAAATCCCGAGGAGAGGTCTGCTGCGGCCCGATCAACTAACTTATCTGCAAGATACTTCCCCTTTGAAGACCCAAGAGTCTAAAGGATGGGAGAAGGGGACAATCTGATGATGAAGAATTAATCATTCTGTTGGGCGCGGTGGCACACGTGTGTAATCCCAGCACTCAGGAGGCTGAGGTAGGAGGATATCGGGAGCACAAGGCCAGATTGGGCTACATGGTGAGTTCAAGGCCAGCCTGAATTAGTTGGACTGTCTCAAAACAAAACAAAACAAAATTAATCCTTCTGTCCTGAGTGCAGATCCTACCTTATGTATGCAGGTAAAATGCTCACCTGTGTGTGTGCGTACGTGCGCCTTTGCACATAGATACGAAGAGGAACAATATTTTCCGCTACGTCTAAGACATGAAAGATCACAATAAAATAACTTGCGCTGGACTGAAACATTTTATCATTAGCAATCCTGAGGAATTTAAAATATAACTTTTAAAAAGCAGCATGAACACTGTCCTGTACATCCGAATCTGTGTAGATGCGGCTTAGGAGACACACGGAACGTTTCATCTAGATGCTCCCTGAAGGCCTCCTGCAGCATAGCTGGGCTTTTGGAAGAAGATTGGGCCATGAGGGCCACTATAGTAGACTTGCAGTTGGGAGGCGGGGCCTGGTTAAGAGGTGTGTCTCTGGGGGCGTGCCCATGGGTGGAGCCTAGTTCTGCTTGCTGCAGTTCAGTTCCCTCACTGGCTGCTTTCTAGTCACACCACATGAGCGGCTTTCTGCTGCAAGGTCCTTCCTTCCTTGGAGCTGGCCCAACATGAGCTGCTGTCGCAGGCTGCCATCCTTTAAACTGTGAGTTTCGGGTACTTGGTCTCAGCAACTGGAAAGTGACTAAGACAACATGTATAAGGACATTTATGTAGGCCTTGGAATCACTAGATGTGGAAACAGTTCAGATAGTCTTATAATGATAAATGCACTGCACTGAGGTCTCACTAGTGGACTACTCTGCAGCAGTGAAAAAGGTGAGCCAAAGCTGGGCACACTGGCAGAACAGGACTGGGACCCTGAGGGGAAGCAGGGCATCCAGGTGAGCTGTCCAACTGGCCTTCTGGGTGTGCATTTGCACAAGAACACAGTAAATGCATGCAGCGTGGTACCAGCGAGGCCTGTGTGTGCTGTCAGGGACAGAGAGGCAGGGAGCAAAGAAACCTCTAAGTAAAGGCAATAGAATCACTCCTGTGACAAAGATGCTACCGGGACTTCAGGGAAGGGGCAGCCCCTGCAGCGCCCGGGATCCGAATGCTCTCATCTCCCCTGGGCGCAGTGACACAGGGGTGCTGGTGTCAGAGCCGTGGCCACAGCCTGGAGATGCAAGGAAAGGAAGGGCAGCTGCATGAACGCACTTCTCTGCATGCCCAGAACACCCCAACTTCAGCAGGAAGCCGAGGGACCCTGTGACAGGCTCTTGCGGGAGTGGCTGTCATGTTTCTCAGGTCGGGTCAGGGTGGTGCTGTCCGTGTTGCCTGGTGGGTGGAGCCGGCCTGCGCTGCTCATGTGGGTCTGCAGCTGGGCCCAGACGAGGCAGGTGAGGAGGAGCCAGAGTCCCTCAGGCTGGCTAGCTGCGGGGTGCTGGCCTATCTGTGGGGCAACAGCCAGATACAAAGCTGCCTGGGGCCAGGCTGTGCCCCCTGAGCCAGAATGAGAGGAAGTGAGAGGGCCGGGAAATACAGAAGGGAGGTTCCGGAGCCACCTGCTGCAGGCCCCACCAACCTGCCCCATGCGGCTCACATCCGTCCAAGCCTGGCTCCCTCCACTTCCCCCTGTTGTGCAATGTCCCCTAGCAACTGATCCAGGCCCGGGCTTCCCCCAGGCACTGTTACCTATGCAACCCAGCTGGGACACCAGGCCACTGCCAGCTCTGCTGGGGTCCAGGGACCCCTGGGGGTCTCCTGCTGTCCTGTCTTCCTCTGCTCCACCCTGCCTCCCTGTGCCCACTCCTACACAGTGCCCCCACTCCCAGCCTCATTCACACACCCTCCAGGGAGCCTGGGACATCCTGGCCCTGCAGCCAGCTCTGGTCCACACTTCTTGTCCTCAGCTGTCATCTGCCAGTGTCATCGCAGGCCCTGCAGCAGCTGAGCCCAACTGGGGGTCTCGGGTTGTGTCTCTGCCCCTTTGGCCCCTGAGGCTCAGTCACTAAACCCCAAGATGTTTTCTTAACCCAGCCTGGACCTGGCCAGCTCAACTTCCCAACTCAGCCCCTGGCGCCCAGCAATCAGAGGGTTTTTATAAAAGGCTAACTGGTACCATTTTCCCGATTATGCCCCTCAGTGACTTCCCAGGACTCTGGAAGACGTCCAGAAAGCCTCCCTGGGCCTCAAGTTCCCACAGGGCCCCTTTGCTTTTGTCTCCAGCCTCATGTTCCACTGTGGACCCGGTCACTAGGTCGTCTGCCCAGGGCCTGGGTTGGGTGTGGCCTGGGCATGGAGACCATTTTTGTTATTGTTGCTTTTTGTCTTTTTGAGACAGGTTCCACTGTGCAGTTTAGGCTGGCCTCGAATTTGCATGGATCCTCTTGCTTCAGCCTCCCAAATGCTAGGATTCCAGGGTGTGCACCACCACGCCCATCAGGCAAGGAAACTTTGAAGGGCTTTGCAGTGTATGTCCTTTCATGAGGGCTGCTTAGCCATCAGCCCATCCTGTCCAAGCCTAAGTGGCCTCCCTCGATGCCCACAGTCTTAACAACATTTAATTCTTCTGGTAAAGCAAGTTTGGGTCACTCGGGGCAGGACCCTTTGGAGCTTGAGGCAAAAGGAAATATCAGGAATAGTAAGCCTATCTTTACATAACATGCTGATATTTTATTCCTCATGGATTTTTGCACAGATTTTGTTTCTTGAGATATGGCCTTAAAAATGTAATTCATCTTGATAACTGCATGTTTGCAGCCCACCCCTTAAATCTCGTACACAAGGCCAGTGCCCTGCCAGCTTTGCCTGGTCCCTGCCGGCGGTGGGACCTGCTGCTGCAGCACCCAGCCCTCTCCCTGCACCTGAAGCCTGGTGGGATCGCCACATTTGGTGCTCAGTGCCCAGCCCTGGCCAGGAGCAGAGCTGGCATCTGCAATGCACGCAGGTGGAACAGTGAGTCACTTACCTCTGTCTGGGTGCACTGTGTCCGACCATCCTGCTCCAGAGCCAGCTTCCCAGCGCCCTGACGGGCTCAGCCTGTACCTGCCTGCGTCCAGTGAAACCTTAGCGTTCTCCTTTCCACGATCTGGGGTGAGGCCCTCCTGACTATTGGTCCTGGACAAGCATGGATGCAGACCAGGATCCCCACAGCCTCCCAGAGCCCCCCAGCCCCTCATGATCTGCATCACTCATGGAAATGCCAGTTCTGGCCCAAGGACTCGGCGGTCCTGGGAGTTCTGGCTCTGAATTCCTCTCTGGTGGACATGGGACCTCACAGGGTTCCTCAGGAAAGGGGACCCTCCTCCCGCATCCCACCTGCCCCGTCACGGCCTATAAGCTCCTCCAGGGCAGAGGCTGCCACACATCAGGGCTGTGACGATTCTCACCATGAGTGTGCTTTGCACACACGGAAGGCCAGCTGTGCACCCCCAGCATGGGCCGGCACAGCCTGGTCCCACGTGGGCCCAGGAGCATCCTGTGGGGAGCGTGCGCTGTGGACCTCTGTCCTCTTGGGTGTGGCTCTCCAGGGTCCACACTCGGGACAGGGCTGCATGCGGGCCACTGGATGCGAGGCTGACGGTGGGGTCTGTGGCCCCTGTGAGGCCGGAGAGGCCTCTGCGTGCTGTGGACCAAGCATTTAGCAGCCGTGCAGCCATCTGTCCCTGGTGCATGAGCCAGCGGCCCACACCTGCTGCACGCACACCCATGACCCCACGACCAGGGAGGCCGAGGCAGGACAGAGCCCAGCCCAGGTGACCCAGTGAGACCCCAATTCAAGTAAAAATACAAGGCCGAGGCTGTAGCTGGGTAGCAGAGCACCCTGCCTTCGACCCCCAGCACCAGGAAAGTGGCAGCGACATTTTTCATTATCATCTGTTTCCTTGGGGACTCCTTTGCTCTTAGTCATCCAGTAAACTTTATGTAACTGGTTTTCTATTTTCTCCTGAAATGGATCCCAAAATCTAGAAAGCGCCTCAGTAATACATGGTTTTCACTCTGCAGTTTACTCATAGTATAATTTA